TTTTCCCCCCCCCCCCGTTTTTTGTTTTTTTTTGTGTGTGTATGTGTGTGTGTGTGTGTGTGTGTGTGTGTGTGAGGAAAATCACAAACTTCTAATGTGACTATAGCTGATGCTGTTGTTGCCTCACTTATGGCAAAGAAAATAGCAGTGATCTGGCTATTGACCCTAAAATGGAGCCACGAAGCCACCTCAGCTTCAGCTTCAGGCACATCTTAGCTACCAACTTTCGAACTTTTGCTGACCTTTTGCCCTCATCCACATTACTTTTGCATTCAGCCAATCTCAGCAGCCAAGTTTTGGCCAACCACAGGTTGCCAACTGCCAGCACCATGCCCAAATAAGGCAAAAGCAAGCTGTAACCAATCAGGTTGTTTCTGTATGTCACTTCTTTTTCTCTAGCTATAGATATGACCTGCACATGTGGTGTAATAGAGCATTCTGAAGCATTTTTGGTTCAGACTGCTGCCTGATTATAGAATCATTTACTGAGTTCTCAAATAAATTCTGTTTTATATCTCAACCGGGTGATTATTTTACTTTGGTTGATACCTGTATCCCCTTGGCCCACTCTGGAGTCACCTGAAACATTTCCTTTTTGCCCAGTGGTCTCTCTTTACCTGACAACAGCATCAGCCCATGCAGACATCAGGCCAGAACAGGAGATTTAACACCAAGAGTGACCCTCAAAGGGACAGGACCTGGTGAATGAACATTCTGACTTCTCCCTTCTCAATGGGACTGCCCTAAGCTTCGTTCAATGCAGTGTCTAAGAAGGACCTGGCAAGACTGAGAACTAGTTGTTGTAAGCAGTACCACTCATTACTACATCTTCTATCAGCTTTCCTCTCTCTGTCTTGCCGCCTCATTTCTCATCATGCCTCCACAGATCACCACTCAAATAAGCTACTTCCATCCAAATGCTTGTCTCAGAGTTTGCTTTTGAGGGAACACAAACTAAGACAATGATATAAAAAAATATCTAAATTAATGAAATGTCATATCATACTTCTAAATGGGAAAACTCAATATTATAAGGAGGTCAGGTCCATCCAAATTAATCTAAAATTTAAGTTCAACTCCGATCTTAATAGTTTTTTATAGAACTCAATTTGTTGATCCTATAGTTCATATGGAAGAAAGCACTTAAAGAAATAGGTGAGAAGATTTAAATAAATAAATAAAATTATTTGACCTAAAAAATAACAAAATGTACTTTAAAGCTATAATAAATAAAACAGTATGTTATTAGCACATGAATAGGCCAATAGAACAGAATAAAGTCCAGGAAAAAGACAGGTAGATGATAGATAGATAGATGAAGGTGAATGAATGGAAGAAAGGATGGGAAAATAGACAGACAGACATGCATGGATGAAAGATGAATGGACAGAAGGAAGCAAAAGACAGATGGATAGTCAGACAATTTCACATTGAAAATCAATGGCTAATGGATGTCTTATTTTCAATATGAAGTTTGGATAATGATTTATACATTTTAGGAGAAAAATAAAGTTGTATCCTTGCCTCACACACTACCAGTGAATAAATTCCTTGTATGTTAAATAATTAAATGGAAATTAAAACTATGAAAATATTAGAAAAATATAATAAAATATTTTATAGCATTTGGGTAGAAAAGGCCTATGTAAATAGAATTTAAAAGCATATCAGAAAATATTTGATATATTACATTTAAAAAAAATTTTATAATAAAAGCCACCATCACAAGCTTAAAAGATAAATGACAGCCTAGAAAAAATACCTGCAATGTTTAAGAAGCAAGAATTGCATTCCGAATGTACGAATATTCCTACAAACCAATAAAAGCACAAACCACAGGAGAGTGAACAAGGGATATAAAAAATAAAATCACACACACAGAAACAAATAACCTGTGTCAAAATCACTAACAAACAGAAAAATGGAGAAAAACTACACAATAATGTATTTTCCCTTCATTAGAATTGATAAAAAAAAAATTAAAGATAAAAAAATGCTCGTGAGGATGCGGAGAAACAACAGCGTAGACTTTGGAGTGCATGTCATATGGAAGGCTACTGATGTGATGTTCTTTTCACTCAATACCCATTGTACTTAGATGATCTTTTTTTTTTTTTTTTTTTTTTGTCCTTTTTGAGACCGGCCGCACCACGCTCAGCCAGTGAGTGCTGTGAGCGCACCGGTCATCCCTATATAGGATCCGAACCCGTGGTGGGAGCGCTGCCGCGCTCCCAGCACCGCACCCTCCCGAGTGTGCCACGGGCTCGGCCCTACTTAGATGATCTTAATGGCCTACATATACAAAAATTTATATACAAGGATATTTACTGAAACTTTATGAAAGTTTGGAAATGATCTAAAGTTCAATTAATGTGGCATGGCTTAAGAAATTATCCACTATCAAAGAACTTATTGTTCTGAGGAATATTTAAATTTTTAAAAATAGAAAATTATAAGCATAAAGCAAACAACAGAGCCCACTAATCCTCCTTATGGTGGTGGACATGTAACCTACATAATTCCCATCAGAATTATATTGGGATGTTTTAGGAATGCTTAAATTTGAGTACTCTCTCTGTTTTGTTATGTGGAATGCAGAGAATGACGCTGACCACTCTCTTGTGACAATAAGTAATATTAGCCATGCAATGAAGCCAATGTTCCAAAAGGCAAGAAGAGACAGAAAACAACAGGGTCTTTGGCATCATTCAGTTCTGGTCCCACCTTATCTAAAGCCATATGTCTCTGGACCCTCAAATGAACCAGTAAGTTACCTTTGTTTAAGTGCATTTGAATTGGGTTTTTTGTTGTTGATACATAGATGATTCTTAATCAACATATGGTATCCATTTCCACAAGCCTTTATATATGACCCACTATGCTCTACAAGAAAATTACTTCATCTTAAACATATACTCATTTAATTGGAAACAATGGCCACAGCCTCAAAAATATAAGTTTTCTGGGGACTTAGAAATATCAATTTATCTTATCAGTGTAGCAATAAAAGTAAAATTTTGGGTTACTCAAAATTCCTGCATGGTTTTCACTACAAATCATATTTTTTCACATAAAGGCCAATAATTTAGGAATACAATGGTTAATTAAATTAAAAATCCCACAGAACACTCAACCACTAGCTAACACAGGAAGTCGAAAAGTTAGTCACTACTCAGTTCTGTAAAACCACTTGGCTAATCTATCATCAGGAGGAACTAAAGCGACTTTTTAAGAGCCCTTCCAGCCCTAAAGTTCTGTATGTTCGTAAAATTTTCTCATTTGTCTCTTTTCTTGCCTTCTCTAAGCAGTCAGCACAATATCTAACAGTCAATGAAACAGAATGACTTTTAGTAACAATATCAAAATGTTCCAATCAAAAAATTATGATCTGTCTGACATCAACACACCTCAGCTCCATGTGGAAATACCACGGCAGTCAGACGACAGTAAAAAAACTACCTTTGTCTGAATTGCTAAGGAGGAAACGCGCAAAACTCAAATGCTAAAGTGAAGACATCTACGAATTAAATAAAACAATAACTGAGGAAATGATTTCATATTATCTTTTGTACTAAACTACTTTTTTTGTTTTTTACATACACACACAGATATACAAACACACAGGCTAGGACTGATACACTGATACAGGAATTTCAAAATGCTGAACTTAAAATATTTTTCATTCTAAGCATAAAAAACCATCAAGCCTCACTAACCCGTTTACATCTGCTCTATATTAGGGAAACCAGAATGAGGGAGAGGGAGCTGTGTATAAGAAATTATCAATTACCTATTGTATTTTCCCCCAGCTCTAGTCCAGGAGAAGGATTTGTTAAAATCAGCTGAAATTTTTCATCTCTTTCTGGAATGTCATCATCAAGAATCATGATGTCAATATTTTTATACCTTTCCCCATCAGCAAAATGAAGAATCTGGTCAAAAAGATAAAAATGGACAGTATTATATTTTAAATACATTATTGAGTTTTTATAGAATGTTTGGAAAGAAATACAATATAGCTGTGAATGTGAAGAATAAGCTAATCTGCAGGAAATTTTTTTCCTTATTTTTTGCATGATCACTTTTTATTTAAATTGACTATATTAAGTTAGAAAAGGAAAAGCCATGGGGGAAGAAAACAAACATTTGGTTAAGGAATAAAAGGCATAAAGAGACAAAGTAAAAAGCATTTTAAACATTACGGTGTTTCAGTAAGTTAAAACAAAGAAATGAATGTTAAAATTTTTAAGAAGCATAAGAAACTCTCTGAGAAGGTCATCTAATAATATAAATTCTTTAACACAACAGCTTGTGTTCTCTAGTATCAAATATTGTAATGAAATAGTTAATAAATACAGAATAATCTTTACAAAAGTACTGAAAATTCGATTTATATTATTTACTAAAAGAGTGAAAGGAACTATTCCATCATGTGGAAAACGTCCCGAATTTACTGTGGATTATATAATAGATTATTAAGATTATTTATACAGGACCTAAATCACTGTAATTCTCAAGGAATAATAATTATAAAATAATTTGTGAAAGTCATCTGTGATAGATTTTGAGACCCACCATCGGTGTGAAGATGTAATCCAGCCCCAGTTGTGCTTCCAAATTCTGGGCATACACAAAAAAGGCAACGTGGCCAAGGGCCTCTCTGCTCCTCTGGGCCACCAGAGCTAAACTTCCATGGGTTTCATTTACTTCAACCCTATGATAAAGTAAAGAGCATACGTTCATTTTGCCCTTATAAGCTTTTGTTTGGTACACAGTAAAAATCTGAAACTCAGAAATGGGCTCTCATGTAGACTTCAGCTTACCTGCTACGCTGCCATTCGATCACACCTCGGGCACCATCGTTGGCATCGATAATAATTTGTGCAGTCAAGCCTTCTGAATCTGAAAAAGCATAGAAACATATTTTGAAATAAATATTAGTGATTAAAAAGTACTGTTTAAAATAGAATTTAAACACAGTCCCTTTGAGATTATATAATTCCTAATGTATAGGTATCATTGACATTACTCAAAAGACGTTTAAGAAAACAAAAACACAAACACTTATAACATCTGAATAAGGACACTTTTTGCTAACAAGAGGTACTGATTTATAGAAATTTAATTAACTAAAAAGAGTATGAAATAATAAGCAACAGAGGTTATGGTTTTGTTTCTTTTATTTTAGCCAATTAAAAATATCTGGCACCTCTTTTCTACAATATCATCATTTCAGGAGGAAAGGGAAGTGGGAACAGTTGGAAGGAGTAGAAAAAGCAAGAAAAGAGGAAAAAGAAATGGGAAGAGAAAGGAGAGAAAGATACAGGTGTGAAAAGGAGACACAGAGAAAGACAGGGATATGATCAGAAGTTGAGAGAGGTGGGAAAGAATGGGGAAAAGGTTTGGTGGAAGAGCGACCAACGCTGAAGTAAACTTCTCTTATTCCACTTTATTTTGTATTCTGTCTACTAAGTTCAGAATGTTGCCAATACCTACTATTTAGTCTTGAAATATTAACTAACCCTGTTATTGGGTTTTTGTTGTGTTTTGTTTTGTTTAGTTTGTGGGGGGAGGGGGGTGTTGTTTTTCTACTACTTTGTCCTTTACCTTTTAAATTTCTCAAGTGCTCCCTTAGTCTAAGATACTTATGGGAGCTGCTTAGGCCGGGAAAGGGGTAGAGAGGATGTAATTCTCTCTAGATTAAAAAGAACAACACTGTCGAGGAAAGAATATAAAATCAGGATTTGTGCCCATCAGAACAGAGGCTAAGAAGCAGAGATCCTAAAATCAGGCCATGCCACTGAAGCCCTGTACTACCATTTCTTAGCTGTATGATTTGGAGCATTTTACTTAACTTCTCTTGGCCTCAGTAAAATGGGAAGATGTAAGTAAAAATAGTACTAGCATACAAAACACTGAAACAAGGGAATTAGAAAGCACTCAACAAGTGTCAACTATTCAAATTAAGTCTAATGTAAGTATAAAAGAAATATGAAGTATTTTGTTAGTTTTCTTAGTGTGAATAATAACTATCTTGTAATGATACTTGATGTAAACAGCCTAGACATTGGAATCATCTATTTTTTTTTTTTGCAAGAGAATTGAAACTTTTCAGACTATATGTTAGAAACTGATTATTTCCTGTCTATATTTTCAAAGATATCACATTAAGCCTCAGAACTGAGTGAGGAATGCGTGTTCCTCAGGTCACTGCTTGGAGCCACCCTGCTCCTCCCCCAGATTAACTGCTGCTCTGTCCAGTACACCTTTTAACCAAGGGATGGGGGCAGGCTACCCTCAGTGCTGTCAACACCACCCCCTACTGGAACGTCACACCTACAAGCATCAGATAAAACTTCTCAGTGATATGTCCGAACTGCAAACAGGAGTTTGTGTTTAAACACAGGAATACATCTTTTTAAAAGAATCTACATAATTTTGTGCTAAGGTTCAAGTTTTACCTTTCAGTCTGTAATGAATTAACTGAGTCTTTTCTAAAAGCATGAAAAGAAAGAGATAAAAGGTCAAAAAAGAAGCAGAGAACACAACAAACAAAGAAACACAAAAACAAACAAAATTTCTGCTTAACCTAAAAGAAAATAAAGTCATCTGGTAGTTTAGAGTGCTAATAAAAATAGCTAATTAAATTTTAAAAGAAAATGAAAGAAAAATGCCTTCCAAAAAACTAACTCTATTTCGAGGATTATGAGTTTGGTTATTAAATAGTTACAAAAGATAACAAGCATTACACAATAATTCTTAATGTCTTTACACTGTCCAATGTACAAAACTGCAATATATGATATTCTCTAAATTAAAAAAAAACTTAAACCCTATCATATTTACACACACAGCTGAGATTAACAAACATCGCAATGATAACTTCTGATTTAAAAATGAATTCCTTTACTTCATTTGAAGTGAAAAAAAAGAAACAAAGAAACAAACCATCATACCTAGTCTGGGAGGAAATGAAGTTAATGGAGCCATTATAAGTTCAACATAAGTTAAATTCACCAGGAAATATTCTTCTAGCTCTGGTATATCATCCTACAAAAATTACACCCATTAAATTTCTTTAATTATGCTTTCAAAGTAACTACCATTTATAAGCTGTATTTTAGGTTATTTTACAAATATACATGCTTAAATAGTATGCAGAAAATATAAAAATGCAAATAGACAATCAATAAGATTTAAATTAAAAAAACAAGGATAAAAGTATTAACCTTATACCTGGTTGTATAGGAAGTTATTAGGTTGAACCATATGAAACCACTCAAATATTATAACATTTTAAATCTAGACATATTATCTGTAAACTAATTATATAAATATACAAATCTAATTATTTTAAGTATAATATTAACATAAGATTTTAAATTACCTTAATATCCAATGTTTATAATGAGGAATAGAATGATACCATGAAAAAAAATACAGGCTTTGCATCAAAGAGACCTAGTACAAAACTCTGTAATTTTAGGTGAGTGAATTAAATTTTAGAACCTCAATTCTATCCTCTTTATATGGCGGAAATAATAGCTAATTTGGGGGGAGGGGGATTGTAATAATGATTAAAAATCATGTGTTTGAAATGCCCGGCCTAGATAGAATGCTTTAAAGATGATAGCTATTTATTAGTCACTAGTCCACATAATAGAAATGAAAACAAGGCAGGTGTCCAAAACATGAGGATTAGCAAAACCCGTGTCAGGAGTGATGAGCGAACCATCAATATTTGCATAGAAACTCAATATGTATACACACTCATATGTATATGTAATTTATTCACCAACGTACACTTTTCTCTTCATTTTACTTAATGGAGATATGTTTCCAAGTGAAAAAGTAAGAAAATGATCATGGACTCTAGACTATCTTATGCAATATATGGACCAATTTGAGTTACAGAATCAGTGATGTAAAGGGACTGTCCCCCAACAACCCCCATGCAAAAACTCTCCCTTTACCACTCTCAGGGTGGTTTATTACTGTACATAAAGGCCTGCAGTATTTTAATATAGTGCTACTCTGGGAGCAGAAAGGGTTGTAAAGAGCTATGGAGAAAGAAAAGTAGAACTAAAAACCCCAAGTTCAAAAAGCTAGACTCCGTAGAGGAAAGAAGGGTGACTGTATTTTCTGCTTTAAAAATGAACATTTCTAAGGAATAATTAGATAATAATTAAATAACATATCTAAGGAATAATTAGATAGTATTCCATTTATTTATATTCAGTTACATTAAGAGATTATCATTTGAGGGCCGGCCCGGTGGCGCACTGGATAAGTGCGCTGCCTGGGAAGTGCGGCGGCGCTCCCGCCCGAGGGTTCGGATCCCACATACAGACCGGTTCCCGCTCACTGGCTGAACGAGGCGCGGGAGCAACACCAAGGGTTGCGATCCAGTTGCCGGTCCCCGGTCCGGTACGGGGGCAACACTGAGGGTTGCAATCCGTTGCCGGACACGGAAAAAGACAAAAGACAAAAAAAAAAAAAAGAGAGATTATCATTTGAAAGATGATGTACTTGCAAAATTATCCAATTTTGTGTTATATGTCACATACTGACATATATTATCTTTTATGTTAGAGTTCTCATAATATTATATTAGGTTATAATGCCATGGTAATCAACAAAATAAGAGTTACTGACTTCAGATGATGGGTGGTTTATACTACATACAATTTTGTAAAAATAAAAAGCCTCTGAGAGAATAAAAACTTTTTAAAATTAGAACCCCCCAAAAATAGTAATTGGGAAATATTTTTTCAAATGCAAACTTCTCTCTCTCTCTCTCTCTCTCTCTCTCCCCTCTCCCCTTTACCTCCCACCACCACATACCATCTCCTACCCACTCCATAAATAATATTTTTTTTTTTGTCCTTTTTGAGACCGGCCGCACCGCGGTCAGCCAGTGAGCGCTGTGAGCACACCAGTCATCCCTATATAGGATCCGAACCTGTGGCAGAAGCACCGCTGCGCTCCCAGCGCTGCACTCTCCCGAGTGTGCCATGGGCTCGGCCCCATAAATACTATTTTCATAAACCTTTCGGAAATTTATTTAGGTACTTGAAACACTAAGTCCCAAATCAGCATGAGATTTCACAATATGAAAAATCATTTAAAATGCAATTTCAGTTGCCAAGAATTACTTTAAGCTTGACCATAATCACATTTTATGCTATCAGCCGCTAGTGAGTTTCCCACTATCTCTAACCAGTTCTGCCATCAAAGATTATGACCGACATGAATTTGCTGAGCCAATGAATTCTTTCGAGTAATCAAAACCCTCCTTTGGAATTTCTTAGGCCAATACCATGTTAAAGGGGACGGCCCTAAAGAAATTCTCTTTATCACGAGATGTTTCTATAATAAAATATACAACAGCAGGTCAGCCTATCTAAAGAACAGAAATGCCTCTTAAAAACTCAGTAAAAGAAATAAGCTGATTTAGAGGCACCAGCAGGGGGACCCAATCAGAAATGAATTCACCAAGTTTCTGAAGATTATAGTTGTACAGTATTCAAACCTTACATTAAAGGCAGAGTAATATTTTTTTAAAAAAATAGAACTAAAAACTATCAGGTAAACTCAGTCTCTATGAAATTTAATGTCTTAAAATACAAAGTTATTAGAAGTTTTTTAGTAATCGTACTATTTATAATGTTATAAATAGAATATTCCAACAATTTCTACTTTCTACGTGGTTACTTCAGGTTTAACCCAATAATAGTTTAACCCAATAACAGAGAAATAGCGTTAAGAGTTTTACCTCAAGTACAGTAATGTCGATGGCTGCTGCTGTTTCCCCTTCTTCTAAAATCAGAAAGCCAACTACCGGGACAAAATCAGCTTCGGGCTCTGCTAGGTTTCCTTCCGTTTGGTTCTTCAGACTCAACATTCCAGGAACCGCGGCATATGTGACATTGATAGCTCCTAATGGAATTGGTTGCAAAAAGACTGTATAATTATTTAAACTTTTAAAATAATGTCTCTTTGTGAACTTTTTTGGCCTTTCCTCAAAGTACCTGTGGTAGCCTGTATTATAGTCCCAATTCCTCACTCGCTTCCCATATCCGTGATCTTTACCACATGATGGCTGAGTGATGTCTCACTGTGGGCAAAGCGTACTTCCCTGCCTCTAGACTTTGAGTTTGCCTGTGTGACTTGTTTTGGCCAATAGTGCAAGGTAAAGATGATGATGTGCTAACTCTAAGCCTAGACCTCAGGGGGCCTTGCATGTCTCACTTGCTCTCTTGTGCCTCTACTGGTCCCAGGAGAAGAAACAGACATATGGAGCACAGCGGCCCCTGGCCAAGCCCAGCCTGGATGAGTGGACCCACAGCTAGGCTGTTACTATACGCTGCTGAGATTTGATGATTGTTTGTTACACAGCATTTCTGTGAAAACAGATAATTTTTTTAATCTTTCCAAAAATAAAGAAGTCATAAAGTCCTGTCCTGAATGAATAAATACTAATGTTTTTCCTGACCCTGATTTATTTTAGCAAAGGCTTTCATCCATACAAGTGAAATATTAAAAAGCCCAGAGTAACACAAACCTAGAGATCCAAATTCTCTGTTGATGTAAAGCTGAACTGTTATGTTAGCCTCTTGTACCAAAACAAATCTTGATGAAAGAGCAAAATTTAAAACTCCATGTGGTTCATCACTGGCCTCTACCGTCAGGACAGCTGCATAGCCTTGAGCATCAAGTAGAGCGATTCCTGCTGGAGGGACTCCTAAAACGTCAGGGACCACGTCAAGAAATCTAACAGTGATTGGCATTCATTAACTTCTAAACACTTTAAAATATAACCTCACTCTTAAAAATACATTGAAGTAAACCAAAAGTGTTCTAACTTGTTCACTTCTATAACAGAAATCCTCAGGTTGACAAATAGAGTCCACCTTCCATTTTTGTTCCAGACACCAAATCATGAATTCTTTTCAGCTGATATGCTATTGTCATTACTGGCAATATTGGTTATCTGAATTACAGAAATCCAATAAAAACTGAGGAAAAGTACCCAGATAATTTGTTCAAAAATTTGAATTGTCTGTGTAATTTGGCCAAAACCCAAATTGATCTGTTAATATAAAACTAATTTCAGAAAATCCGACCTTTGGAAATGTATTTTATCCCATAAATAACTACTTAACAAAACTTTTTACAACTTTTTTCTGAATCCATAAGAATAAGTATTCCCATACTGCACTAATGTTTTTTCAATCTAACATTTCTATGGGACAGACCATACTTAAAACATTTTCATTGGTATGCACCTAATTGTCAAATACAGAGATGGCAATTATTTTTTCTTTCTTTTCTGAAAAGAATATACCAGAAAAAATTTTAAATTGAATTCTAAATTACCTTGTGTCCTGACATCATACAGAATGACTTGGTATACTTCTTTCTCTTCAGGAATGTTGTCATCCAACAAATGCACAAATATTGTTTTATTCAATGACCCCTATGTCAAACAGAAAGAAATCCATCCCTCTATTGTTACTGAACACAAACTAACTCCTTCTTTTATTGGTCTTATAAGTGCATCCAAATATACGAGAGAGAGACAGAGAGAGAGAGAGAGAGAGAGAGAGAGAGAAAGGAAAAATAAGATAGAAAAAATAAGTTCTATCGGTGTAAAGCTGGGCTAGGAATCTATAATTAACAATAATTTACTGCACGTTGTCCAACGGCTGGAAGAGAGGAGATAGAATGCCTTCATCACAAAGAAATGATTAAGCTTTGTAATGATGAATATGCTAATTACCTTGATTTGATCATCACAGATTATATACATGTATTGGTATTCAACTCTGTACCCTACAAATATGTATAATCAATATGTTTTAATTTTAAAAAGGGGAAATAAAGGGAAAAATAAATAAATATTAAAAAACAAACATATATATACTCATTTAAACTGTGACTTAAAAAACAATTAAATAAAAATTATTGACTCATGGAAAACCACACTTGGAAAGTAGATAGGGCTAGTCGTGGAAGATCTTAATTACTGAGCTAATTAATGTAAATATTATCCACGACTGAAAATTTCAGACAAGGCAATAAGTTGGGGAGATTTCTACAGCAGTGGAGAATAGGAAAAACTGGAGCTGTGAAAAGAATTCCACCGTCGTAGGGCTATCAGTTACAAGAAATCCAACATAGCACTCAAGGTAGAAGGTAAAAATATGGGCTTGGTTAATACTCAGTGGAAATGAAGAGAAAAAGAATTAAATACATCATCAAGGAGAAATTCATACCATGTAGGTGTGGTAAAGAGGGAAAGATGACTAAAATATAGTGGTGCTAGTTTTCTACCCCATTTTCCTCAAAATACATTGTTTTATATAGATATTTGTCATAAAGCTTTTCTTTGTGGTATTACCTCAGGAAAGAACAGTTGTCCAGTAAAGTTAGCAAAATTGAGTTCTAGATTTTGCCCAATAATTTTCCAGTTAACAGTAACATTTCCTCGACCAGGAGGTGTTCTTATCACATGGAATTGCAAATTTTCTCCTGCAAGTAAAATGTACAGAGAGATAAATGCTCAATGGAAAATGAACATCACATTTGACCTCAACAGAACCCACGTCCCAAGCATGCAATTATTACAGCACCTTTTCCAAGAACACTACAAAGCTGTTCTGTTTTGAATTTTCTACTCACTTTATACATGCTTATTGCTTATTTACACAGGGATCTCACTTCTGAATATTTCCATTTAGTAGAACTTTAGAAAATTCAGTATGTAAAAGTTACAAAAGCACATGCTAAAGTGGGAAACACAAACTTTTATACACTCCAAAACATGCACCAGAACATGAGTGTTCTGTAAATTAAAGAAAATGATAAAGTCTTTGTGGTCAAAACTAGTAATAACACAAGTAAATTCTTCCTTCACTTCTCAAAAGGACACAAATTTCTTACACTGGTGTGCAATGTGATTTTACACAATGCATGCATATAAATGCTTGCAAATACCTGAAAATCACATTTCTTTAGATTGTAACTTACATATACCATCAATGATTTTGTTTTATAAAAAGAAATACAAAGGAAAGGTGTCAAATCTGTACATCAACTTCTGTAACTTCATCAAAGTTACAGTTATCTTTCCTGGATAATTGAGATATTTTAGATTCTTTTCATTCCTGGCTTTTATTCCCACATAATACTTTGTAAAACTGAAGAAAATCATGAGAGTCATTTCTTTCAATTTGCGAAAAGTAGAAAGGAGGCTGCTAGAGAGTATGCTGATGGCCATGTGGCTTGCTGAAAAATACTCGATGTACTACTAATATGATGATGAACACAAGTTAGGGTATACTAATGAACTATATCACTAAAAAATTATTATTATGAAAAGATAAATAGAACAATGCTTAAAAGGCTTTAAAACAACACATCCTTATTCAAATTTTGTAGCACAGACATATAGTTGAAATTCATAAATATTCATTAAAAATGTCACTTTTTCTTAATTATTAAAATAACTTTTATGCATATAAGTAAAATCTTCCAACACTTTTTAAACAGAGCAGAAATAAAACAATATATAAATACCTTTTTAACATATTTTTAAAATACCATAATTTTTTTATTTCTAAAGATAATAAACCTAAACAAATATTTCCAATAGAAAGGTTCTTAAGTAAAAATATCATGGATTAATTAATTTAGAGACTATCTTAAAATAAATTTTTATACTAAATTTAAACATATAATATTAGTACAATAAATTATTTTGGGAGACTGGCAAACATAAGAAGGCAAAGCATAAGAAAGAACTTTTTTAATACATTTTTACGTGTTTCAATACAGAAAATATTTAGTCACCATTGCATTAGTAGACTATGTCTTGATTTTTTTTTTAAAACACATGGGAACTGCTAATTAGAAATCAGATTGTCCAAAGAATAGGATATAACTGAAAAACTACATACAATCAGCCATAATTGCCAGCACACCATTTAAAATTTTTATACTTATATAACTCATATGAACAAAATATAGACACATTATGAAATCCTGGAGCCTATCTACTGTACAGCATACAGAATTTCTTATAAAGCAAGTTCATATTGAAAAACAAGAGTTTATAACTGAAAAGCATAGAGGGCTCCTTGAAGTTATTAAGCTGTCTCACCAAACCTACAATGTTTGGTGACACAAACAAAAAAGGTTTATAGAGTCACGGTTTTCAAATGTTTTAAAACCACAAAACCTGGTAATTGTGGGGCAAAAAAATTATGAAAGTTTGACCAAGTGCTACAAATACAAAGAGAACACTTGGCAAGAAAACAAAATGTAGGTCAATAAAGATCCATGTCAAAAGAAAACCTATAGGGCCAGCCCGGTGGCACACTGCTACACTGCGCCGCTTGGGAGTGCAGCGGTGCTCCCGCCGAGGGTTCGGATCCCACATACAGACCGGTTCCCGCTCACTGGCTGAGTGAGGTGCGGGCGCAACACCGAGGGTTGCAATCTCGTTGCCGGTCCGGTCTGGTCCGGGCGCGACACTGAGGGTTGCGATCCGTTGCCGGACACGAAAAAAAAAAAGACAAAAAGGAAAAAAAAAAAAAGAAAACCTATAGGGCCGGCCCAGTGGCACACTCGGTAGAGTGCGGCGCTTGGGAGCGTGGCGGCATTCCCGCCGAGGGTTCGGATCCCATATGGAGACCAGTCCATTCACTGGTTGAGCGTGGTGCGGGCGCGACACCGAGGGTTGCGATCCCATTACCAGTCACAAAAAAAGACAAAAAGGAAAAAAAAAAAAGAAAACCTATAGGGCCGGCCCAGTGGCACACTCGGTAGAGTGCGGCGCTTGGGAGCGTGGCGGCATTCCCGCCGAGGGTTCGGATCCCATATGGAGACCAGTCCATTCACTGGTTGAGCGTGGTGCGGGCGCGACACCGAGGGTTGCGATCCCATTACCAGTCACAAAAAAAGACAAAAAGGAAAAAAAAAGAAAAGAAAACCTATAAGGCTGGCCCATTAGCTCAATTGGTTAGAGCGTGGTACCATATCACCAAGGTCAAGGGTTCAAATCCCCATACTGGCCAGCCGCCACAAAGAGAAAAAGAAAATCTATAATCATAATAACAGAAAAATTATGGTTGCAAGTTTATACATAGAGACTTGAGAATAAACACAGCATTTTAAGGTGAAAATAAAAATGAAATGCCGGGGACAGAAAAAAGTAAAAACTTCTGACAAACTTACTACATGTAAAAATACTCGAAGTCTAATACTACTTAACAAATAACATCTCTGAGAATTTTAACAAGTTACCATGGAAGTAGCTTGCAAGAAAATATTGCAAAAAACACAATTTGAAGAATCACACACACACACACACACACCACACACACACACGCACACACACACACACACAGAGAAAAACACTTAAATAAACAAAGTATTTCTTAAACACATAATCTTATAAGCCTGTTGCAAATTTATCATGTCAACAGCAAGAATAATGTGAAATATTATTCTAAGCAATAATCAAAATGGAGGTAATTAATTCTGCCTCTTCAGGGCAGACTCCCAAGAGCCAGATCCATTTAAAATGTCTCCTGGGAAAATGACTGTACATATACCAGAAAGGTACCTTCTACTTGGGTGAGAAATCAAAGAACAGTTATGGGAAAAAGAAAAATCTTAGAAACAAGTGTTTAGTCTTCGCAATTTAAGGAGAAGAACAAAAGGAATGTCTTAGAGAGAGCATGTTCTAAAAAGCCTGAAGAGGGCCTTAACTTACCAAAGAGTCTGACTACATTACTGTAAGATCATCTTGACATGAAATCCACAAAGTCCACCAAAAGTCGGTGACACATTTTAACTCTAAAGCAAATCTATTATAAAGTGTCTAGGCCTACTCTAATGCAGATAAAGAATATAAATAAACATACATTTTAATCCACTTATTCCTAAAACCAGCATTCTTCTCACAAAGATAAATATCAATTACAATGTATATAAAAATAATAGAGAACATATTCCAATATAAATACACAATACACAGCATACATGTATCATCCAAATTGACTGCCCTCTACAACAAAAAGAAAATGGGTTAAAACAACTATAGAAATATTTTAAATGTGAAGCACAGACTCTTCGATATGAAGAGTTAAGGAAAAAAGTTGTGTTTCTAATATAGCAATTCTGTAAATTTTTTGAAAGAGTCACATTTGTTGTTCAAATCTGTGTGTAAAAAAGATTCATGCTGTCTCTAAGAAAAGGAAAAGTTTTAAATTCAATGACATGGTGATTATGCTGCTGCTGAGTTGAGTGACTGAGTGAAACATCTAACAACAGATTTATAAAGAGCACATTTATATACCTTTTGCAACTCACAGTAAAATCAATTGCCCCATATTTCTAAATTCTGTCCATTACATTTGAAAGAAAATATTTACCACTGGGCATCTCTCCAATTGCTTTAGGACAAAACATAGAAATAGGACTCTACAGAATTCAATACATTGTTAAACACTAAGGCAATTCCTGCCCATGAATCAAAAATGCATTCTAGAGCCAGAAGTTCAGAATAGTCCATGTTTTAAATCTAATCACATAAATGAAACTCCAACTCTAGGCCAAAAATACTGTTAACATTGTTAAAAGCTCACAAGGCACTTTTTTTTCTTTTTTTACCTCATTTGTTTAGTTATCTTTGAAGAATCGTCATGACATTTTCATTAATTCACTTTGGTAAACTCATTTTGATACACATTTTTCTATGCAATTTTCAAGGTAGTATAAAGAATGCATACATGAAATATTGAATTCTTGAGGTTCAATATGCTATTGAAAAAATTGATTTAGACTCTAGGAAAAGGTTTAGGAATAAGGGGAAAGAAAAGTTAAAAAGGAAATTCCCCCCAATTTTTATTTAGAAAAGGTAAAAAGATTTAGGAAATGCTCATGCAAGCAATAAAGCAATTTGGTTTTTTATTTCCTGTACCAAATTCATGCTTATAGATTCATATACTAAGGTGGATTTTTAACCAACAACACACTTGGACCATTTGTTTTAATAACTAATCCTTTTTCTCCTTTGCATCTCCTGCAGATATTTAGTTGTTGGAAACTGAAGATACCACAATATATTTTTCAGGTGAAGGTAGTTCAGGCCAAAGAGAACATAGGTGCTAGTGTCTGCAGTTTCTCTAAGATGCTGTGGCACCCAGCAAGAGCATTTCTATTTCTTCTGAGCCCTCAAATCCACCACTACCACCACACTCAGACTCTCACAGGACATATTTTCACAACACTGGTTGCTTTACAGTTAAAAATCTCTTTAAATTGATCCTGGACGTCCAAACTTTTTGGTAATCTTCAAAAAAATTCCATCACATTGCTGAAAAGCGTATGCCCAGTCCAGCTCAAAGTCCTTCCTTAAATCTAATCTAACCTTTTCTAGTCCCTAATCATAGTTAAGCCCTTCATACCACCAAAACTTTGATTCTCTTTTTCTACATTATTTTCCTTCCTATATTTCTTCAACAAAACAAAAACAAATCCAACGCACTCCTCTTTAATTTGTTTTCTCCAATATTTCTCCTTTTCTTGTTCCCATAGCCAATGAGCAGTGATTCTTAAAATTTTATGCCATGAAGGACGATGGCTTTTTGTTTGTTTGTTTTCTTTTATTTGCCTTAATCCATCATAGATTGGTTCTTTTTGTAAAGTACAATAAAATGAACAACTAGCTAAGTTCAATAGCAAAAAGAACATGCATACAAAATACAAGCCCATAAATACTGCTTTTGGATATCAGAGCAAAGTGAAATTGTAATAAAAGTTTCTAATCTTTTTGCCTTGTCACAGACCAATAGCAAGCACTGTGGACGGGCACCCTCCTGAGGACCACACTTTCAGGAGCACTCCCCAAAGGCCTCCCAGTCTTTCTGTCATCCTTAGATATTTGCTTCCCATCCCCGATTCTCCTTTAAAATTCCTCTTCAGTTGCTACTGTTTTCTCTAGACCATTGGGAGTCTAATCCCATTTGTTGGCCAAGTAGATATGAGATACATTGATTACTTTCTTCTGGTAAGTGATGAAAACATTCTATTCCCACCTCTCTGGCCGAGCCTCCTCCCCTCTCAGGTATTTTTCCTTTTCCAGCACCTTACCCTGGTGTTCCACGACTCCATCTTCAGTAATTTGCCTTTCTTTATCTGTCCACAAAGACTGTATTCAATTTCCTGATTTCAACTATCACCTCCGAAAATTCAATTTCCATCTCTAAGCTGAGATAGAGTTGATTCCTCTCACTAATTTCCTTCTCTCACATAGACATTGCTACTCAGATTCATTATTCATCCAACTCAAACCACTTCAAATATTTACCAAGCGTTCCTGCATTGTCAGGTTCTGCAGCAGATACACATTCAAGCAAAACAACATCTTTCCTCACAAGGTACCGTGCAGCATGGCTTTGCCACACGGCTGGGTTTAAACTCCACCATTGAATAACTGTGGGCTATTTAGTCTCTCTCAAGTTCAGTTTCCTTCTGAGAAAATCTGATATATACTATTATACCTACTTAAAAGGACTGCTGTTAAAATGAAGTGAACGGATGTAGAGTGTCTGGCACACAGAACACACTTCATAGATGCTGCTGTCATTATTAAGATTACTCCTGCAGAGACTTTTTACTTGTGTTATGTTACAAATACTTTTTTGATAGAAGAGAAAAGACTATTGGAAAATGGCTCAAACATTTGCATACACAAGAGGTCTTCAAAAAGTTCATAGAAAGGTTCATTTAATTTCTTTTTTGCCATAAACTTTCTGCAGTACTCTCGTGTAAGTCAAATAAACCTGCAAGTTGGGAGTACAGTAAGGGTAAAATTTCCAGCACGGCTACTAACTAGCTGTCTGATCTTGTCAAATCACTCAATCTCTGTGTCGCAGTTTTCTCATCTTTAAAATAGAGGCCCATATACATTGTCTATATCTTTTTCATTTCTTAACTCTTAAAGGTAAAGTTTTAAAATTCCAAACACGAAGTATGTGGTAAAACACAGGCTATAAATAAATACCTCTCTTATCTCAAAACAGGCTTATTGAAAGACAAAAACACTACTACAATGTTTTAAACAAACAAAAATTAGTCTTTGTGTATAAAACCCTGCATATGATATAAAACATGAAGTAATGATTCAAGAAAACTATTGTTTTTCAAGAAAAAAAAAAGGACATTTTATAAGGTTTTCTAGATTGGCACTTTGTTCATAAAAATACAAACATGATATAAAATCCAGGCTAAAATATTCACTGATTATAAACTATTATTTGTTTTTAACAGGGAACCAATGTTTTACTGTTTAATATCAACAGCTACCATTGAGCACATACTGCACTTGCCAGGAACTAAATTGTACTTTACATTTATAAACTCACTTAATCCTCACAAAGAAACCTATGAAGTGAGTAATATTTTCTGTCACTTAGATAAGAAAGCTGAGTATCCCACGTTTGATTAACTTCCTTAAAATCACACTGGTAGGGGATGGCAAAGAAAACACACTATCAATCTGCAAAGCTCCTAAATCTAGTTAAACAGTTCACTATACAGCCCTCTCCCAAATAAATTCTATGGATTAACACACATAGCTCAACAAAATAATGAAAGGGAAAAAAAAATCAGAAGCTGTAAAAGACTAGATAAAAAATTACATCCATGAAAATAGAATGAATGTGCTCAGCAAAAAAAGGAACCCACCTTCATGACCTATGACAGATCTGGAAGCAGTCTGAAAGCTAACAATTCCCGCTACATTGTCATTGGCCAAAATATTCACTCTAACAGTGTCGGAGCTGGGCAAAATTCTACTTCCACCTTCGGTGTACACCAAACTAACTATGATGCTTTCATCATCCTCTGGCTCGGAATCATCCAAAACGGTTAATATGGCAATCTTTTTGGTTTCACCTATAAAAAAGTAATGGGACAAAAACCAAAGTAACAAAATCACCAAACAGAAAACTCAGAAAAGCCCAAGATAACTTCTAATAAAAAATGTTAAGCAGAAATATGTGAGTGAATTATAATAGTTCAATATTATGAGCAATATTAGCACCATATAAGCACTTTTTCTACATTAATCCGTATGTCCTTTCACATATAAATACACTGTAAAATTTATTAATGTGGACAGTTATGGAGAAGGACATTTTGAATTTTGGAAAAGTTAAAGGGTAAAATTATATCATGGCTTTACTTCCTGGTCTTTAGCCAAAAACGATGACCTAGTTAGTAAAGAGTTTTGGAAGCATCCTCTATTTTGAAATAGCTCCTGTTAGGACAGTGGAGTCTCATTTCATTCTGGCATCACTGTGAATAATCTTAAACAGGTATTCATCCCAGTACCTCCATGAAAGACAGGGACCACTTAGGGAACGGTGATTAAAATGGGGAACAAAAAAAGGAATGGCAAATTCTGAGCAAAAAGTCCAGCCTGAATGAGTTTTGGGGCAACGAGATGCGATGACGGCATCAGTATCAGTTACCAGGATGTAGTGCAATGAAGGAAGGAGGCAGAAAAGGAATGCAAAGGGATGAGTGACAGCCACCAGGGGGCACCACTGGATGTCCTAAACCCTACACTGCTTCTGCTGTTCAGCCTACGATGTCCCCTATTAAATTCATCCCCACTTTTTTGTAAAGAGGATAAAGAGAAAGGAAAGAAAAGGCAGGAGAAAGGAGATTAAATGCATCTTCTCTCTCTCATAGCCCTGGTGCTTTTCATCAATACAGCAGTGTCAAGACTGCCTCAAGAGAGCACACCTTATCTGAGAATCTAGGTAAACTATAAAATGAAGTCCATTTTGTGTGATGCTAAAATCACAATTCAAGGTAATAATAATTTGTATAATGCTATTGTTCTATATAACTTTCTTCGCAGTTACCAAAGCCACTGGAAAATCTAACCTTAAACTTCCATCTTCATTCCCTCCTCGTTACATTTTCACAATTTCCTTTGAAATAGAAAGGTTACCAAATGCTAGCCACCCCCCGCCCATTCCACCAAGCACATCATATTCCACTATTTCACTATTCCCCAAATCATTTACTAGGAAATAACCATTATATAAATGTTTTATACTATTTTTTTAAATTTACTCTAAAATATAATGCTTATTAGATGTTTCAAAAAGTATACTACATATGTACCATGACCCCTAATTAGTTTCCCAAAAAAGTGTATGTATTAAAAAGTTAAACATACGCAAGGTATTGCTCTACGATATGGAATTACGAATAATGTTTATTTCCTTCATTTTCTTGTATATTCTGAGGATTTTATGCATATACATTACTTTTTCAATCAGAAAAACATTAAAAAAACTTTATGGAATCTATAAATGCCCAAATCAGGATTTAAACAATGATCTCAGTAAAGATAACTTTCTCACACCAAAAGAAAACTATTTTAAAGATATAAATGTCAGATGATTCAATCAGTCCTGAAAATGAATCTGTTAATCTCATCCGAATGCTCATTTGCTGGCCATGTACTATATCGTTTTATTGTTTATTAAAAATTCCAATAATGATCCCACCAAAGTCTAAGAACAGTACTATACATTGATCTGTCAGTAGGATTAATTTAATGTAAATGCATTCACCAGAGTGTATACTACTTTTACTTATAAATTATTTTCATTGAAGATTTATCCTTATTTGTTTAGTGCATATGACAAAGCTTACCAATTCATACTCATTTTCCTAGCTACCACTACTTCTTACCCACACGTCAGGTTGTAGGTACATGTCTCATTCTTACAATTTCCCTTACAAAATTAGAACTTGCCATATAGTTGCCTGCATATTTCCTTAAAGGCACTGCTATCATACATAAAGGGATAAAACTCACACATTCCCTGAAAATTTTCTCTTTTTAATAATCTAAAAAGATACATGTATAGGGTCATGTCAGCCTACATATGGGATATCAACCATTAACAAGCTAACTAACTTCTATTTTTTCCAAAGCCATACTACACTTTTACATATTTATAAGAATGTACACAGTAAGTAAAAATTCTTATAAACATTACCATAAAAATTGACTATGATGACTTTACCAATGGGAACTGAAATCCATTTAGAACCATCACTCACCTTCAGCAAAAGTCAGAATGTCTCCAGTACCTATGAAATCTAAGCCTTCAGTAGCCGTTCCACCAACAACACGCCATTCGACTGTCACCTGACCTAAACTGCCCCCCATCCTGTGGATCATCAGCTCCACTGAGGTTAGGGGCTGCTCCTGAACTTCAACAAATAAGCCATCTTCTGAGGCGTTGGGACTAATACTGTAGATCACAAACACACCAAAGGCATCACCATTTAGTGCTATGACAACTGTAGAAGTATTTGGCTGTCCTATGGTTGGCTGATTTTTAAAACTGGCTGTAATGTTCATAAGGTGAACTTCAAGGAGAGAAATTAGGAAACTCTCATCCATCTCTGGGAAATCATCAGGGAGAATAGAAACGGTAAGATTTGCAAATTCATCACCTTCCAGCATTACGGCCCACTGCCTTGTCACAGGCTCATAGTCACTACCAGCCACAGCCTGACCACTAAAAAGAGACGTAACCCTGGTCATGTTTTTCCTGTAGGTCCAGGAGTCTGAACTGTTGACAGTTGGGCTGATCCACGATGTCATCCAAAAGCACTGGGGACCCTCAGGAGCACTGAAAAATGAAAATGCTGAGCAAGCATGTTCACTGAGGCACAGAGCAGCACAGGTGTACTGGGGTCCCCCCACTGCAGAAACATTCACCCAAGTTCTCCAAAGCGGATCAGGCACCCCTTGCATTGGCGATTCATAGTAGGACAGTAAATCTTGACCTTCCTCCATGGCGAGAGCCACTACATCAATATCAGAAGTACTGTAGAACAATAGCAGCTGGCCAAAGTGCCCTCCGCTAAAATGTGGAGTGACAATTAAAAGACAGGTTAAGCACTTGAAGTAATCTGTGGATTACCTATACAGAAGAGGAAGCTGATTGCTGTTTTCACTTAAAAAAAAATGTTTGCAGTATTAGTACAAATACAACCATGTTTCTTAATTACATTTGTCTTTCAACATTTTGTTTCTCATGTGAGGAAACCTTGCTAGTTTTCAGTCAAACGATACTTATTTTTAAGCTATGAAAATATCTTGCAAGGTATGCAAATTGCATCTATTTCAGAATTTCCAAACAAAACAAAATTACAAAATTAATTTTTCTTATTACCACATTTCATTGAAACAAAGTAACAGTGATAACAGCATGAATACATTTTGAGGTAATGTAATAACTTGCCACAAGGGCCCAAGACCCTATATTTTCTATTTCTGAAGGAGTGGAGTGAACACCAGGCTGCCTCACCAAAAAAATGAAAAAATGCAGAAAAAACAGAACTTGGAAATCAACCCCTTATACAGCATCTGAGTGTTCTTTAATTTAGAAGCTGGTTATATTTAAATTCTAATTCTAATTAGTCACAGATTAAAGCAATACATTTCTGGGGTTAGAAAGTTCAATGATATATTTATTTCACTAATAATAAGTATGATACGATGGCTCTTCATAGTAATAGGCATAATTCAATTCACACATTATAATAACCTGTAAAACAATGTATAGTATAGAGAAACCATCAAACCTAAATCATTTAATTGTGCAAGGGATCCCTCCCCACCACCCACAACTCCCATGGCTCCCCATCTCATATACCTTCGCCTGACAGTTATGTTAGCACAGGAACTTCTTTCCAGAGGCTCTTGAACACGGTAAACCGACTGAACAAAGGCTACTGTACCATAAGGGTTATCATTGGCAGGAATAATAATATTTGCCACTCGATCTAACCCAATAGTACCTCCACCAGAGGCATCAGTTAGTTGCACTTGGATAACCTAAAAATACAGTGAAAACTTCCTTAACAGCATCCCAGTTCTGAAATTAGATTAAGAATGACGTAGGGGGGGAAATACATTAAACATATCCATACAAGTACAAGAACAAAATGGAATGAAACATAAATCGACTCAAAACTCCTTACATTTACAAAACAGCACATAACAGAATAATCCATCATCAACTTTTAATAATAGAGTATTAATATTCAGTTATATAATCATGCAAATCAATTTTAAGATACCTCTTTACATTTATCATTTCAATAACATGACTTTTATATCCTATACCTTTTTTTTTATTTAGAGAAAATACTGTATATACATTTTAATGGATAGGTAATCTATTATGTTTTATTTCTCACATTATCTTAAATGGAAATTCTCTGACAAAATTTAAAACAAAAACATATTGTAATACCACCTAAATTTAGAGAGAAGAAAAGTGCTTTATATATATCACTAAATACATAATATCTTAGAAGAAAATAATGATACAATTAGGATTCAAAAGAAATTTTATGGACTTCTATAAAAATTTGATACTATTTTTTTTTTCCTTTTTGTCTTTTTTCATGACTGGCAACGGATCGCAACCCTCAGTGTCGCGCCCATACCGGACCGGGACTGGCAACAGGATCGCAACCCTCGGTGTTGCGCCCGCACCTCGCTCAGCCAGTGAGCGGCCGGTCTGTATGTGGGATCCGAACCCTCGGTGGGAGCGCCGCCGCGCTCCCAAGCGGTGCACTGTAGCAGTGCGCCACCGGGCCGGCCCCAAAATTTGATACTATTAAAGCACAAATGATATTAAAAGTAATTTTATGAGATACAGACTTTAAAAATACTAGAATTTCATAAAATAAATTTCTTCAGCCAATATATGCTAGTGATAAATCAACTTTTTCACTGAGACTCTATTTTTGTCACCTTGCTTCTTTATCACAAAAATAAATATTAGGAAGATGTATCTAGCATCAAATTTGTCATATAGTAAATTCTCCATATTAGTTAACGAATAAATGAATAAATAAGTGGAAAAACCACATTCTACACTTACTCTACACTTAATTAAGATTGACTGGCTCATACTTGAGCCAAGAGGGAGTAAGGATATAAATTAAGAGTTTATATGAAACAAATATAGTAAAAATTATGATGAAAAAATACTGGTACACATATTTAGCTAATCAAGTAAAGTGTTGAAAAATACAATGTAATTGTACAAAAAAAATTTATACTAGTAAAATGAAATGTGTACACTTTTTATTTCCAGAATGTTTCTGCTTTGGTTATATGTAAGGATAACTTTAACACTACCATATTTTGAACACTCTTGCCAAAATAATTTATTTGACATCCTCTCCAAAATGTCACAACAGCCATCTGTTCTAGTCACTACAAGACAAGGTATGATTTACAGTGTCATTCTATACTAGCCATTCCTCTCACCTCTTCAATCTCCGGAACGTCGTCAGCCAGGACCTCTAACAACAAGGTTTGAATGGTTTCCCCAGGGGCAAAGGTCACATTACCTGAGACAACTCGCAGGTCGCCAGTAGCAAGCTGTCCATTAATGGTGGCAACCCACTGAACAGTAACATTGCCGAGTGTCCCAGAATTTCGAATTATTGGCAGGTTTACCTTCACTGAGTTAAACTCAGGTTCCTCTACAATAAGTTTAGTAATCTGAAAACCTGAAGGACAGACATAACAGAGTTAATTCCAAATACGAAACTGAGTCAACACAGAGCTAACCAAGTGCCATCCTAAAGTGAATTATTCTTCCCTCTAAGCAATCTAGGTAGATACACCTCACAAAATCATGGCAACAGGCTGTGACATAGATTGGTCAGGCCTGCCAAAATTTCCAAATTATTTTTCATTGTGACAGAAGCAGAAATCATAAACTCAGATGGCCACAGAGGTCAGGGATATACAAGCCATGAGTGAAATAGGTCCCATGAGCTCTGTGGCTGCCTGCCCAGTACAGCCTGGTCCAGAGGGGCAGTTGCTACTTCGCTCCCATGACTGATGACATACAGGAACGGGGGCTCGATGCTGCCAGATTTTCCTGTTTATCAAGAGAGCCCAGAGATCTAGATTTTTGTGTAAATTTCTGTAAATTAAATTAACTTTTTCAAGAATTGCCTAAGACTTACAGAACACATCTAGGAGCCAAATCTGACACAAAAGTCAATAGTTTGTGACTTCCATGTATATACTAAGAAACTGATTTACTTTGCCTTTTTTAATAACCACTAACCACTGCCAGTGACTGTACATAGCTGCCCTGTATATCAGTAATAGCATGTTGAAAAAGAAAACAAATAAATTAATAAATTCAGAGTCTTTAAAAATAAAAAAGAGGTTATTATCTAAAATCTATAGAGACAAATAAAAGAGAGACACAAACTAGTTTGATTACCAAATAATCCATAGGGGTCATCAGAGGCCTCAATAATAATGATTGCCTCTGTTAAAGCCCCTAGTTTGGCTCCTCCTGTAGTTTCATTCAGCAGTTGCACGAGAAAAGATTCTTCCAGCTCAGGGTAAATGTCATTAAGGATATATATTGGCACAGCTTTACTGGTTTCCCCTTCTAGCAAGACCACATCTGATGAGGCTATGCTATAATCTTCACCTGCAAAGACAAAAAGTAAAATGCTAAGACTTAATCCAAAATATGATAATAAACATTCCATATAGTAGGCAGACACTATTAGGTATCAAACTTTATAGCTATACTTGGAAAGAATATACTTCTTTGAAAATTGACTACATTTATTTTAAGCAAGAACATTTTTACCTCTCTCACTAGAAAAATGAATTTGATCATATCACAAAATAATGAAAACAACTTCCTAAGGATGCTAAAGTCCATTCCTTCATTTTCAAAAAGGTGTGTACATAATTTGGTCTATTTATACATACATACATATACATATATACACAGAGAGAGAGATTCATTACCAAAAGATGGCCCCTTATCTACAAAAAAAAGAAAAAATGTATATAAACTTTTAGAACAAAAACAGAACTAGAATTCTAATCTCACTGGAAAGATAAAAATTATACTGCTGCACAGATACAGGCATGTTAGCATCACCAGTGATATAGCTGGAAGCAACAGATTTTCCTACAAAGTTGGATTAAAAGCTGCTTCTGAAGTATTGCTCAGGGTGGCAAGATCTTTGTTTCTGGTCAAAGAGTGGGTGGGGAAAATAGGGACACTATGGAGTCTGAAGGCTAATTTCTTAGAACACAAAGAAGATAGACCACCACCTACCCACATGGCTACCTAGAGGCATTCCTACGGGACACCCAGCCCCAAATATGCACACACAAATACACACACACACACACACACACACACACACACCACTTGGGTACTAGATGAGCCTCATTTATTGTCTTTTCAAACAAGTGTCATGCCCATATGACTTATTTTAAAAATTTAGTCATGGTATCCTGTCCATTCACACTCCTGTTCCTTTGAGAGCACACTAGAAAGATTCTAATTAAATAGCTTTTAGGCAAATCTCCCCCTAGATGCTGGAAGTGCACTACCAAAGAAGACAGTCTCCTAATGTTCGTAATTGGCAATGAAATCATTTTGCTTATACATAAAACAGTTAAATCATTGCCTCTTTCATGATCTTCATAAATAAATAAACAAGCAACATAAAGGGGTCCAGAGATAAGGCTGTTACCAAGCACTGAAATCTTATGGCTCCTCATTTTTCCCTGCATTCCTCAGCAGTCATTTACGCATGAATCCCTTTCAAAACACGAAAAAGTTACACACACAGAAAGCCAATGTTTTCCTTAGTTTACTTTTCATACGTTTGGGCATATTTTGAATTCATATACAATTCACACGCAATTATGAACTCATATACAATAATATACATTTGGCTTTTGAATTCATATACAATTTGGCTGACATTTTCACAAATTCTACAAATTCAGTGTCATAAATATATGAGAGCTCTAGATTTGTGCCTTTAAAAAATATAAGAATATTTCTGTTTTCTAGTTGATTTTTCTAATTACGTATTTAAGTGACATTGCTAATCAAGGATACAAGTCTCTCTAAAACACTTCACTGCTCCTTAGATGTCTTTTCTTACCAGCGATTGCAGTTATTGGCACAGCTTTAAACTTCACAGAAACATCTGCAAATGCTCCTCCTGTTCTAGTCACATTGATAATGGGTCCAACATGATTCTCTGCCACTCGAACAATTGGAGCTGAGAGCTGAAGAGTTCCAAATGCATCATCATTGGCAAGGATAATTAGATGGGCAATAGTTTGTATCTTAGGCCCAAGGCGTGGAGAATTTGAAACTAAAAGGTAGAAGAAAAGCTAATATATCAAAATTCCAAGTGGCCAAAAGTCATCAAGAAGCTTCAGCAAGACTCCATCAGCCAAATGGGATCCTCACTTGGTGTTTTCTCTCTGCTATTTACATTAAAAAATATTTATTGATTACTATGTACCAGCATCAATTTGGACACCGGGGATACAAAAATTAATTAAGCAAAAATCACCTGCTCTCTTGTAGCTTACATTGTAGGGAGATTTTTATTATAGAATACTTAGCAAAGAAACAGTTACCCACACGAATATTTTAATAAGTACTAGAAGTTTATCAAAAGGAAAAAAATAGCTAGAGTGCAATTAATTTCATTTAACATGATACCACAACAGATAATGATGAAACCTACAGAATTAGGCTCTTTTACTTAGTTCACCATCATGCCATTTAAAAGAAAAGAACACAGCATTTGAATTACAGAATTGAGTAGGGAAGTAATTTAGTTCCTTGACCTCCAAGGCCAACTGCAAATCATCACACTGTAATTAAATTACTGCTTCTCTGCTTCATTGCCTTCCCTGAGAAGCCTGTTCCTCCCTGCGTAATCTTAGTTAATAGTCACTAACTACCTCGTTGCTGTGGTCTGAATGTTTGTGTCACCCAAAATTCACATGTTGAAATCCTAACCACCAAGGTGATGGTATTAGGAGGTGGAGCCTTTGGGAGGTGATTAGGTCACGGGCATGGAGCCCTCATAAATGGAATTAGTGCCCTTATAAAATAGGCCCAAGAGAGACCTTTTCCACCATGTGAGGACACAGCAAGAAGACACTATCTGGGAACCAGGAAGCAGGTCTCACCAGACAATGAATCTGCTGGGCCTTGATCTTTAACTTTCCAGCCCCAGAACTGTGGAAATAAATTTCTGTTGTTTATAAGCTACCCAGCCTATGGTAGTTTGTTATAATAGCCCCAACGGACTTATACACTTGTCCAGAAATCAGAGACAGCCTCAATGCAGCATCAGTGCTGCTGTAAGTGTGCTAATAAGTTTAAGGCTCCCTTCTTACTTCCTATTAATTTCAGAGAGAGCAAAACTTATTTTGAAGGCTTTTAGGGCCTTCCACAAATTCCCTCTGATTTATTTTACAGGGTTAATTCCAATCAGCATCCTTGCCAAAGCAATATAAAAAGTTACTTTTAGCACAAATAAAGTATAAACAATTTTGAGTTCATATTTAGAATACTCTCTAACAATTGTGGCATTTGAAAGTATGTGATTATGAATAAAATTAAACATTTTAAGACAATTTAACCTAAAAACTGGTAATAACACCATTTAATTTCAATGGGCCCAGACAATCCTAGATTATATAGTAATTAAAATAATAAATTATGAATCAATATAATAAAATTAAATTCAACTAAATTAGCAAAGAATGGCAGTGACAGACAGTCATAGCAGCAGGTGACATTTTTTGAGTGTGGACTATTGACCAGGCATCATTCTAAGTGCTTTTAGCATATTAAGTCATTTAATTCCCATATGCTCTCTACATTTTACAGATGAGGAATCAGGAGCACAAAGAAGTTGAGGAAGTTAGCTTAGGCACTAGTACCTGTCGGATACAATCAAGAGACTCCTATAAGGGTATGCCTAATCTCCTGCTCCCTATCTACAATTTCTCACCAAACGAGGTATAAAACTGTAGATTACCTGTGACTGTTCATCCTGCCCTATGCCCTTACCCAGTGGTGACAGTTTTCTTACATTGCTCTCCTTACTGGAGGAACACACTCAGAGAAGTAAAGACCCTGCAAGGTACTACACTGCTTTGGCCTATAAAAATTTGAGTCAATATCACACAGATTTGTACTTCATTGTTCTTTTCTTATCTCATATCATAGCTTTATGCCTATTCTGAATTACCTTGAGTATGCTACCTGGTTCCAGCATAAAATACATGTTGATTATTTCTCCTGTCCTGCAGCACATAGATACTCTGCATATACAACTTTAATAATAATAATTGCTCACATTTATCGAATGTTTACCATGTGCCAAACACTGTATTAATTTTTTCACATCTTATAATATTTAATCCTCATAATATTTCCATATTACAGATAAGTAAACTGTGGCTTAAACAGGTTATGTTCAGCAGCTTATTACTATACATTGAAACATAATTTATCTGACGTCAATACCCACAGCTCCTAGCCATCATTATCGGTGATAGCCCCTCCTGGTTTCATTTCTACCTCAATAAATCATGAGTTCCCTGAAGACCAGGCTGTGATTTATAATTCTTACTTAAGACCAAATATTGGTTTTAATTTCTTTGCTATCATAACTAATCCTAAATCTTGCTTTAAATATGTGGGGGGTATTCTGTGAGAATTTTTAACCTTGACTGTAACCTGAAGATTTAATATCAGCAAATGTCCTATAAAGTAAATTTCCTTCTATAACCCTGGACTACAATTATTTACATTGTGGGCAAGAAGGTTGCTCACCCTATATAGAATATTCATCTGGGTGCTACAGTAATGTGAAAAAACTTGGTTGTAAGAAGCCTTAAAAACATATGGCAGAACATAGTCAGCATGCAGATCTTGGAATCTTACATTTTAATCGATTTAATACAAGTATCCTAAAGGTTTACTTGTTTTCCTAAAATTAATATTAAATTAATATCACTGATCTTTATTCCCTTACTTATTTCCTTATTCTAGGAAATAAGTAAGCTTATTTATAATAAGCTTCTTCTCTTTATTTAAAAACACCTTTCTAGAGCTGTATGTCTTCTTAAAAAGGTGTAACTAATGAACAGGTCTTAATACAATAGCTGCTTTCAGCTCCACCAAGCTCAAGTCCTGCTCCCTACCTGTACCCAGTCCACTGCCTCTACAAAGCCACTGGCCAAAGCCCCAAGGAGAGCAGTCACGACTTTCCAGCAGAAGCTGCTGCACCAGATCCTCTGCCCAAAGTCGGTCATTCCTCACTCCTCATTCTTATGTGCAATCACTATCCCCTTCCCCCACACAGTTGCCAGACCCACATGCTGCCTGCCAATACAAAGAGCTCAGGTTGGCTAGGGAATCCTCCAGAAGTGGATCAAGGTGAGACAGACCCCGGCTCTTGCTTCTAGATTGTCTTTGGACTCCCCAGATTGATTCTAGAATGTTTTTTTAGCTGTGACATATATACAATAATACTAAAGGTCAGTTTACATGGATTACATAGAAATTTCTAAAATTTAGTTTGGAGACATAACTGACTTTTAAAATGTGATTAATGTGATTTTCAAGAAAAAATTTGTCTCACTTCCTTATATATGAAGTTTTGTAAGATGACACTTTCACAGTTAGAACTTATTATTTTTATAGAAATTTCTATTATACCCAATTCTAAATTTATTATTTTAGGATTCTTATCTCTAATAATAACAACAAACTAATGGGTACTTACTTGGGCGATTCTGTACTTTCTCTATTAAAGTAGAGTTGAGTAGTTCAATAAACACAGACTCTGACCTCTCTGGTTCATCATCATCCAAAATTGAAATAGCTATTGTTGCCTCACTCTGATTAGCTCTGAAAAGAGCAAATCCAGAAGTTGATACATAGTCTCTTCCTTGAGTTGCTCTGGCTAAATTAGGTGGAAAAGAAGGTGGTTTTTTCATATCATCTAGCGTTGCATATGAGACTATGACTTTTCCCAGGAGGCCTTTCAACCTTATTATTGACAACGTGATGTTCTGGGTTGCTTCCTCAACTTTAATAGGTCTATTCTTTTCAGAAAAGATGAATACCCCACAAGGATCATCACTAGCCAAAACTGTTAATGTGGCATTAGTGTGAACTCCCAAAGAACCACTGGAGACACTGAGAATTGACACAGAAAATGCCTTATCCAGTTCGGGATCTTCATCAGGCAATATTTCCATTGTGATGTTGGCACTCGTCTGCCCAATCTCAAATGTGATGTTGCCAGAGGTGAAGGCAAGATCACCATCAGGATCAGAGTCTATGCTCCAATGCAAAGTCACTCGAGACAGAGCTCCATGACTTCTCACAACCTACAAAATATTTAATATAAAAGTATTAAAAGAGAGGTTGAAACAATGGACTGCAAGATTTATAAATACAATAACAATAGCAGCATAACAGATTTTAGTTTTATTTTATACAAGTTGTTCTCAAGACAATAAGATTATTGAAGACAGGGGTTATATACTACCCATCTTTGAAGAACCTCAGATTCTTACAAATGGAGGGTATTTAAAAAGTGATTGCTACATGAAACTATGATTGATGGAAAATTTTTAGCTTCTAACTAAAGTATAGCTGTATCTTGTGCAGTGATACATATCAGCAATAAATCAAGTGTGATTAACTATTATATTTAAGCATACTCATGAAAATTTTACATTCACTGCAAGAATGATGTATATACTTCATTGTAAGAAATAGATGAGTGATATTTTTCTGAAAAGTTAGTGTAAACTCATTCTTAAAACAAATCATATTTCCTTTTATCTTAAATATAATACAAAAAACAAACTCAGCAAAAAGTATATTTGACCCAAGGGTATAATAAAATACATTTAAGAAGGAAGAAAAGCTTTTGTCAATAATAAGTTAAGAAGAATGGAAACCTTAAAAATGACTCCAAATAAGTCACAACCAGGAGTAATTTCATCTGTACTTAAAATACAAATGTTAACTCAAAATAAAATTAGAGACAGTAATTTTATAAAACTTGATCCTTTCCCTTAATTCTTTTTTGTTTCCTTCCTGAGTAATTAGTTATACTTTCGAAAGTTGTTCAATTTATTCCACAATTTATTGAAGATCTGCCATAATAGTACAAAAGGATATGTTTGAATGATCTTTCCTCATTATTTGTATAAAATCTGAGGAAGCTGAGCAAGCTTCAAGCTTCTCTGAGTCACCGAACAATAAAATCTTTCTTAATTTCTACTGGAACAAAGCAGCGTAGACACACACACAAACACACACGCATACTCGCATCATATAAAGTTATTATTATTGCTGTTCACGAATGTTTTGGATTTTCTTTTCTTCTGAAGGACAGACAGGATAGAATTGTATTCACCCACTGACATTAGGCATGATGAACATGCGACTTGCTTTAACCAATGAAATATAAGTGGAAATGATGTAAATCACTTCCAGAATGAAGCCGCAAGAGCCAGTATGCAGTTCTCCAAATCCACATCTTCCTCCCAACCCCTATGAATATAAATGAGCCTGTTGAGATATAGCCTCTGTAATCTTTGGTTCTTAAAGTGATTGATGATCAGAGCCCCTTCCCAACTTAAGTTGAACATATACTATGAGTTAAAAACAAATCTTTGTTGTACTAAACCATTGAGATTTTGGAGATGTTTGTTACCATAGCCTATCTAAACTAATAGAAAAATCTGTGTAAGATAAGTACTTGTAGTACAGCTCCATTATATTCCTTAAGGGTCAGGAATTCTCAGAACAATAAAATGAATCCATATGCAAAACTAAACACTAAGACAAATGCCAAATCACTATTCAATTATCAATTTGTAATGTATGCCAAAAGGCTCATTCCCCTCCACTTACACAGAAAAAAGAAAACATAAAACTTACCTTCATAATGCAATAAAAAAGTCTTTAAAAGAACATAAAGTATGTAGGAATGAAGGGAAAAGTTACTCACATTTAATATAACAGTGCTGTGCCCATCTTCTGGTTCAGTTCCACTGACAAAGAGTGACTCAGGGTTAAATTCAAATACGCCATGAGCATGGTCAGAGGCAGCGATTGTCACTAGAATTTGGGAAGCCATTCCTAGACTGGCTGCATGAACAAGTTCCAACAAATGGCAAAAAAATGTTAATCAGTAATTTACAAACCAAAGGAAAAGCCAAGGAACAACTTTTTGAAAAGAGTCCTTCTATTCATTGAGTACATTCTAATTTGTTTTAGAAAGAAAGGCAGACACAAATGGTTGCCACACATATTCATGCTTTTATGACCTTTCCCTGCTTTGGCACCAATGTGATACACAAGTGCTGCATAAGCACTTGGAGATGAATAATGAAAACTTGTTTTTCTTTTTCTTCTGAATGAAAGAGAACATTCTTCCACACAGAGTTATGAGGAAGGTCTCCCACGACCTTTCCTGACCTTAAAAGAACATGAGCCAAAATGACTCTTACCTTTACAAAACAGTAGTTTTTCCTATGATTTTAGTTAATCTGACTGAACAGATTCTTGGTGTCCAAAGTGTATTAATTCTAGACCTATATTTTTTATCATAGTACTATATTATAGATCTATCTCTCCTGATCCCAAATAGTCGAATCCTGTAACTAAAAAGATGTCATGATCTAAAGAAGGAAGTAATTTTTTTCTTAAGAAGTATGTTTAATTTTTACACTGTATTGTTATCTACAGACAAGAAAATGAACAATCCTAAAATAAAAAGAGGTTGCATGAAGCATTAATGGAAGTTAGAAATAAGGAGGGTGGAAACATAAGTTCTGACAATAAAATATAAAACCTGACATTATGAAAAAAGAATATTTGAGGATTAGAAAGTGCTCTCCTCCAAAATCAAGTATTCTATTTTCTCCACATATGAAAAAATATTTGAGGCAAAAAGCTAAACCATGTTTGTATATGAATCTGCTTCAAAAGGCATCTCTTTTCACCATTCCCTTCATTAATTGGCAACTTATTCTCCCATTTATTTTCTTCCTAATTTCTTCTTCCCATTTCTTTTGACTAAATACTACATATGAACCTTCCTTCACTGTTGGTGGGACTGCAAAATGGTGCAGCCTTTATGGAAAATGGTATGGAGGTCCCTCAAACAATTACAGAGAGATCTACCATATGACCCAGCCATTCCACTGATGAATATATACCCAGAGGAATGGAAATCATCATGTTGAAGGGATACCTGTACTCCCTTGTTTATTGCAGCTCTATTTACAATAGCCAAGAGTTGGAACCGGCCTAAGTGCTCATCATCAGATGAGTGGATAAGGAAAATGTGGTATATCTACACAATGGAATACTAGTCTATTATAAAAAAAAAAAAGAAATACTACCATTCACTGCAACATGGATGACTTAAGAGAAAATTATATTAAGTGAAAGAGGCCAGACACAGAAAGAGAAATACCACATGTTCTCACTTTTTTGTGGGAGCTAATAAAAATAAATAAATATATAAACAAATAACAAATAAATGGGCATGGGAGAAAAAAATAAGACACAACAATCTCAACAAGTCCTTGAACTTGTTAAGACAAGTGAGCAGATATGACGTTGATGGGGGGAAAGAGGGAGAAGAAGGGGGTAAAGGAGAAATCGGTAAAGGGACATGAAAATCAACTACACCGTATATTGATATATTAAAAAAAATTAAAAAATGAAAAATAAAAAAGCTCATGGTTCTTTTTGTTCAATGTAACACATTTAACATAAAATACAAATGTTCCATTTATATCTTTTTAGGTGTTCAAAGCTATGTAAAATGTTTTTCAACCATCATTTTTATAAATTGCATGCAAGCAAATTTTCTATCACAATTAGAATCAGGAAACTGCATTAGGTTCCTACAAAGAGGAGAGTCTAGGCTTCGGAGGCAGACAGGGATTTGATTCTGACTTAATCCCTTTCTAGTTGGGTGACTATCACATGGAGTAAATAATGCTTCATAATGTTGCTCTGATGGCTAATGAGATAAAATATGTAAAGGTCCTACAATTAGCAGGCGTCAATAAGTGGTTAGTACTGTTGTCTCCAAAAAGAGATGTTAAAATTAAAAAACACATATAATAGTAAAGGACTTTGAAACAGCAGCTTACCACGTTTGTGAATAGTTGGAAGGAAGAATTCCATGTCCCCATCACCACTACCACTGCCATCAGCCCTAAAGAGTTCAGCCACTTCACAAGGAGACACACAGAGACACAACCCACACAATACACATTGACACAATGAGAGAATAGAGAGCTCTTAAAACCAATCAAGCAAAGAGGAAAATGCAGTAATATCCACCCAGTGACATGCATTCTTCCACAGAAAAGAGATCATTTTAAATGGTTCAATTATAACATCAGTGAAGCTATAAAATTACCAAAATTCATTCACAGTTTCAGGAAATACTCCACTTAAATTGTAATTGGTATTTGTCATTTCCACCAATTTAACTATTTTATTTCTAAACTTGCAATTATTTACTTAAAGCAATGTAAATTATTTTTTAGCATTATAAATATTTCAAAAATATTTATGTGTATATATAATCATATACTTACGCCTATATGCATGCGACAGTCACCTTACCACTCAATTCAAAACCAAGGAACTGCATCTAACATTTCCTTCCATCCACACATCCAAACCCCCACTATATTTACCATTCTCAAACTTGATCACCCTCTTGCCACAGACATTATGGAAAGAGCCCTAGACAAGCAGTCTAGAAATTCTGCTTCATCCCTGGCCATGAGAGATACCAGCTGTAAAAGCTTCAGCAAGTCACTAAGCCTCTTGGTATCTCAGTTTTCTCACCGACAAAAGGTGCTGCCTCTTAGAAAAAATGCTACAACGATCAAATAAAATAATGCAAAATAAATAATACTGTAAATATATAAAGTACCTTGATGATATACAAGGATTATAACAAAGAGCAAGAGGTTATACCTTTGTTTCTAATACATCTTATACCCCAATCATATTTTACCAAATATTTGCAAACCAAGAAGACAGGAAAGGCAGTGATGATAGCAATGGAAAAGGAGAGCAAGAAAAGCAAAGCCACATCCATACATGGGTGCTTCTACCAATACCCTTAATTGACATGTTAGTATCTGCCCTGCTTTTCTGTTTTTCCCACTCAACAGAACTGGGATACACAAGGTGTGAAAATTTACAGCACCCAGAACCTGAAATTATCTTAGAGACTTAAGAGGCAAAATGGGTTTCCAGCATTTCCAGTACATGCTATCCAGAAGTCATAAGAAAGAGGTGTGAAGTTCAACACCATATACTCCTTCTACTTTGGCTAGCATAAAACATCTATTCAGGTTGTGGCTACCTTATGTAGAATCAGTTTTATAGACAAAACAGTATGGAATAAGAGGTGCATCCTTGACCCTCAAAAGAATTTAGCTCTACAAGCAGCTATTTCACATACTAGGTGGTTCCTAGATATGAGTCTAGGAGTGGAGGTCTTTGTTTAGATTTTTTTTTTTTTACTTCAATCCCAACTCACTGCAGGGAAAATCAGATTCTCTGCTACTATTGCTTACTAAGAAACTTCAAGATTGGTTTTCAAATGAGTATTTATGCCCAATTAATATATAACAATGCACATTCTAGAGATATGGGGGAAAGTTTCCATATAAAATCACAAGTATTACTATGATCACACAAATATCACTAAAAGAATAATTGATACTGTTATTAATCAATATTAAGTAGTGGTCTCTAACATTTTCTCTACGACATAAATATTTTTAGCTGCAAGTAATACAAAGGGCAACTTTTCAAATATTTTATAGTAACCTTTTTTATTAATGAAAGTCCTGTTATGAAAATTAGGATTTGGAGATGTGAGCACTTGTCTCTGAAGGACAAGCAAAGCTGGTATTTTTACATGCCACCTGACAAACAGGTCATCTAGCCTTTTTTTACTGTTTTCTGCATTCAACCAAGCTGTGACCCTGTTTAATCATTTTCCTGCTCCCAAACACTGTATTGGTCTCCTTTGCTGCCATCTGGGCTTTGGGAACATGGAAAAACGACCTCACAGTCCCACTTTATACAAACAGACAATTTTAATATTTCTGTCCTACCCAATCCCTCCCTTTGGATGGCTTATATAATATGACATTCTTTATCAAAATGAAGAAGGTAATAATAATAATAATAAGATAGTAATACCAGATTTTATAATGAAAGAAACTGTCATGATGAATACCATTATCAACTCTCAATTACTTATACTTGTAAAGGTAGTACAGTGTATATTACATGTATTCTATAACATCCCAGTAGTAGCCAATAATCAAACATGTTAATAGTTCTGCAAAGAAACATATATAAATAGTCCATTTAAATGGTATAAATATCACAAATAGCCTCACTTCAATACGAATGAGTTTTGCCACGAAATGAGTTTTGAAGCCAAAAGCCTTTGATAATCAGAGCTTTCTGAATAGCAGAATTGTGGATAAGGTATTGTTGACTTGTTTTATTAATAATCATCTCATAATATATTATATAAAAGGACTAGTTTTTTTCTGTGTCATATCTGGAGATAGCTCTAACAGAGCTACTATGAAAATTGGGAAAGGAAGAAAGGAAAGAGGTGATTTCAGGAGCAATGACAAGTATAATGTGGTGATGTAGCACACAATTGCACTATTTGATTCTAAAAGCACATCTACTTTGGGAAAGGGTCAATGGATAACAAAAGGGGGAGAAATCAGAACAATAGGTGGTGTTCATATAACAAACAGGAATATTACTCAGAATGAACCAAACCTCACAGCAAAAGTATATCTAAATGAAACTATGAGTTGGATATAAATTTATAAAACTATCACTCAATATTTAGGTAGAGAGAAACAGGAATTTTCTTTTTACCAGGAAAGGGGCTACCAATCAGAAACTGTCTACCATAAATATTAAGCAATTGTTAACCTTCTGGCTGCTCTCTCCAAAAACTAGTTCATTTGAAAAAAGGGGAGGGGGGAGGTTAATTCAAAGGAATATGCTTCCCTAACAGAATCCACTGTCACTTGGCAGGTGGATTAGCAAATATTTGATATTTGACATTTTTGAATCGCCAGTCTTACCTCCTCCCTCCAAATTTAACAACTCAACTTTAAAAGATTTTTCCAGTTCAGGTATAGAGTTATCAGTGATGTTGACAGAAATGTATTTATATCTTTCTCCTGGCTGAAATTCTAATGTTCCAGTAACACTCTGAAATAAAAACAAAATATTCATTAGATTATAATTATTCTGTATATGAATTTGCAAAATAAGAATGTTTCTTATGTCCCAAATTTTTACAAATACTGAAACAGAAGAACATAAGTAAAATACAAAATTGGTAACACTTCGGTGGATATAAACAATATTCAACATACATTCTAAATAAATATACTTCAACTAAATAAAGGGATTTTTATTCTTCTTATTTGGATACCCATTGAAAAAGTAGTCAAGGAAAATGAAAAATCTTAGTGGGTAACATCCACAAATTTCCAAATAAATAATTCAGTGAGATACAGGGAATTCTCTTAACCAAGTATATGAGGGCACTTCAAAACATTCATGGAAACACAGAATTAAGAGATAATATGAATATTTCCATGAACTTTTTGAAGTAGCCTTATATTTAAAACTATTGAAATTACATCAATAATTATATGAAAAATTTAAATAGTGTAGAATAATGGCATTTTCATTCTGAGAATTTCTCCAAGCAATAATACTCATCGGTCCATTTGTTATTAATCTTTTTTGATTATGTATTTGCAGTTGCAGTTCATAACAAAGATCTCCCTTCAGGAAAGTTCACATAAGATAAACAAAGAGCTATTCAAAATCAAAGTCCTAAGGCTCTTTTTCTTCCATTATTTCATATAAGCATTCTCCTCTCATGTTATAAGAATACATTTTAAAGTTGTTTAAAGCTTTCTAGTGTTAGCTTGTGTGGGCAACCATATTTCATATTTTGGAGCTATTAATGATCTAAAGATAAGTTGAGAAACCCATTTACCAATTCACTTAATCACCCATTTATTCAGTTTTTCAATATTTATCAAGCACATAGCATATTCATGACACCATTTTAGATGCAAGAAGACAAAGACAAATCTTTGATTTCATGGAGAACATTCGAGAAGTGATAAGTATTTAACAAAATAGTTCAAATAGAATAATAAGTGCCATAAAAGACATATAGTTAGCTCAAAGAGAATGTAATTAACTTTACCTAGAGCTTGATAGTAGAGTAATTCTACAAGTCTTAACAAAAGAACTGACATTTGACTGTCTCAGGAAACCATCTTACTTGAACAATATCCTACACACTTGGCCACTTCTCTTCTGGAAATATGTCCTTCTCCAGTATTCCATGATATTGCACTCTCTTGGTTTTTTTACTACATATCTGGCTCATCCTTTCCAGCATTCTTTGCCAATTTTGACATTCCTTATGACCTTTAAAAACTGTTGTTCACGAGACTCTCTCTAGACTTTCTGTCTAGAAAACCTGTCATAGCCTAGGCTTTTAATACTATGTACGTGTTCCCAACTCCCAACTTCACACCTCTAACCTCTGATATCCAGACTTAAGTCCTAAAAACTACTTTAAGTTTTTCTTATAATTTCTGCCAGAATCTTAAATTCATGATCTTCCCTTAAAAACTGTGCCTTCTCCAATTCTCTCTACAATACTATTGTAGAGTGGCAGGTTACTTGTGCCAGGAACTAGTGAGTCATTCTTGACGTTCTTTTCTGCTGTATCCTTCACACTAAACCATCCTCAAATCTGGCCATTTTAAGTCTTAAACATTTCCTGAGCCCACCTACTTCTTTTCATCCACATTGTCACCAGCCTAGTCCAAGATACTATAACCTCTTGAAATATCACATTCTCGACAGTTCACTATAGTGATCTCTTATGAATGCATAACACTCTTCAATTACTTCTTCTCATTAAAAAAAAAAAAAAGCCAAAAACACAGTAGGCTGATCTGTAAGGCCTTGAATGACCCACTCCCTGCATACCTTATCGTTTCTCACCATACTCAGCTCTTCTTATTCCACAAACACTGACCTTCTTTCACCTCCTCTTGACAAGCCTGTGCCTTCCCTACACACTAAAGCCTTTACTCACATCACTTTACCCAGTCTCAAGTGGTTCTTCCCTCCTTCATCTACTTTTCTCCTCCTTAAGCTTCAGAGCTCAGCATAAATGTTACTTCCCCAAGGAAGCTCTCCTTGAATACAACAACGACCTCTCTCCCAGATCACCAACTTTGAACACTCCTCACAACTGTAACTCAGTAATTAATTAGTTGTTTAACATCAGTCCAAATAGCTGGAATGCAAGCACCTGGATGGTGGGGATCACTTGCATCTTGGTATATGAGAATAAGGTCAAGAATAGTGATATCTGATATTCAATTTCAATGCACTAAAACACCTTAATTTGCATAAATTTAATAGGCTGGAATGCCATCAGTGCTTACTTTCCTTGTTTAGTATGTTCCAGGTACAGTGCATGTCCCTTCCAATTCTTCGAGATAAGGATCATGTCTGCTTTACAAGTACAAACACAACTTTGAAAGGATTGAGTTATTTACCAGGTAGTCCTCAGGACTGAATGCTGTCAAGGACACTGTTCTAAATTTTGCAGTCACCCTCCCCAGGAGTCCTTGTGCACGGACAACCAATAACCTGACTTCTCCATCTTCTTCCTGCACAGTGATATGTGGAACATTGCTTGCAGGCAGGGTCATTGCGTCCTCGGGCTGAGGAGGCAGCCCTGTGGAGAACTGCAGCAAGCCTGTGGAGACAGAGAGAACTGGGCATTCTTCCTCCAAATATCTGTGGAAGAATTTCTTATTCATTTGAAGCAATCTTACACAATTATTTTGATCACCAAGCTAAAATTCTGAAGACCTTTATGTAGAAAACAATTTAATGAAAATTTGATTATCACGCATTTGACAAGGAATATGTTCATAAGCTTTCAGAATGTGAAAAATTAAAAATGTTAATTTTCCTTGTCTTAAAGAAAGCTGTTTTTAATGGAAACATCAATAAAAGGAATAATGATGGGATTTTCAGATACATATTTTCAAACATTTACTCATATTTGGCTACAGTCACTAGAATTCATTCTTGAACTTACAGTAGAACAGGATTAATGGGATCCTAAAGGATTTGCAATACTTAAAAAAATATTAACTATGAAAACCAGAGTTGGAGAGCCTCTCAGGTTTCCTACTTGGACCTGTTAACAGATGTTCTTGCTTTTTTCCCATACAAGAAATATTACTTTTCAATAAAGAAAACATTTTCAATTTACTAGCTCAGACATCTATGACAATTCCCCAATTAAGAAAATTATCATTTTTCAGCATAAGACAAAAAGAAATTAATATAAATACACAGTAGTAACTTCACTTCTTGAACCTTAATATAAATTATAAAATACTTCAATTACTTAGGTATTAACATATCACAGTAGTAAAATTTTTAAAGAAATTTTGATATCTATAAATATATTTTATTTCATTTTAAATAATCCTGCAAAATCTTTCCAAAATATATTATTAAAGTTCAGAAATTGATCTTTATATTTTTTTTCATAAACAATGTTCCTCAAAATGGCAGCTTAGACGTTAAAGAGCTTAGAAGTTAGAAGGTCTGAAGGAGTTCTACTTCAATCATTTGCAAAAAAAAGGCCTTAAGAAATTCTTAACAAAACCAAGTATACTCAGAGAAGAGAGGATTATTCTTGCAAAAGGAGTGGGTTACCATATGGATGATCACTAGCTTTGATGGTGATGTCTGTGGTTTCCTTTTCAGGATCTATACTCGCACCACTGGTGGGAGTTGAACCTAGTTTCCCATCTCCAGGAATTGCAGAAACCAATGTCACACGGAAATACTCATTAAGCTCAGGAATATCGTCATCAAGAACGTGTATATTCAAGACCTATAAGTGTAAAAATCCAGAGGCACTAAGCAATGAGGCATGTAGAAATTACTTACCAGAAGAAAATTAAATAGCCACTTAAATTACATTTAATTGAAATTACTGTTTAACATGAGTTATTTCACACAAACTTAAACATTAAAACATATGTGTGTGTTTAATTTCTTAAACAATAATTGGTGCTGCTATGGTCTGAATGTTTATGTCCCCCCAAAATTCATCAAGCCTGACCCCTACAATGATGCTATTATGTGGTGTGGACTTTGGGAGGTGATTAGGTCTGGAGGATGAAGCCCTTACGAATGGGATTAGCGCCTTCATAAAAGAGGTCAAGGGGAGCCTGTCCCCAATTCTCCCATGTGAGTACACATTGAGAAGGCACCATATCTTATGAAGTACAGTGAACCCTTACCAGACACTGAATCTACAGGCCTTGATATTGGACTTCCTCACCTCCAGAACTGTTGGCAATAAATTTCTGTTGTTTATAAATTACTCCATCTAAGGTATTTTGTTATAGTATCCAGACAGACTAAAGCAAGTGCTGAGCAGTAACATTTTCTGTCTAAAAGTATCCTATTCGTACTTAATATCATATCATA